CCTTTGTTTGCATGTGCACAGACACACCTACACGTGTGTGTTTGCGTTTGTATGTGTGTGTTTGTGTGTGTGTGAAATAAAATGTATGGTTTTCATTGATGAACTGAAATTGACGAAGGTGGATTATTGCTCCACATCAAACTGACAGATGTTCCTTCACCTCCTATGTTTCAACAATTAACTCACAGGCGTGGGTAAACTGTCGCCAGAGTCCATATACCGATATATGGTCTCTGCTGTCGCCAACTATTTCATAGAACTGAGAATACAGATATTACCATGTGTAGAGTTAAAATCAATGTGTAATAGTTTCCAGCAGGATCTGAGTCTGCATTCACCAGTGACGACAGTCTCCAGTAAAGACAGGTGTGTTGTTTGTCTCTCGACTCACCCCAAGACACAGGTAACAGTGTCATTATCAAGACCCAACAATGTACAATGTACTGTCAGATTGTCGAGTGGCACGGGCATTTTCAGTCCCGTGCCAGCTGTTGCGCTTATCTATTGCAGTTACCTCCAAGCGTACTAATCTCCACCGACATCGATAACATTCAGAATGTGAGTACTAAGAACGTCATAAGCATATAATGTTTCTTTTGATTTGCTATCGTAAATATCGTCTAAATTCGTTCAATGTATGTGTTTTCAGAACATATAGGTGTGTATATCATAGCCTTAGTATATTCATCTTTAAGTCTTCAAGGTTTTCTCGATGCTTAGTGTGTGTGTGTGACTTCGTATGACTGTACATGTATTTGGCGTACATGTAATCACGAGTGACAGATAAGATATATGTGTGACAGGTCAACCTGCTGTCTGGGGTGGTGTACGGCAAATATGGTATTATGTCATAGACAGTACATGCTGACTGGTATGGGGTAAGGGAACTGAGGTATGTATGTGTTAATTCGTAGTTGTTGTCTGGTATGGGGTTGGGAAACTGAGGTATGTATGTATTAATTCGTAGTTGCTGTCTGGTATGGGGTTGGGAAACTGAGGTATGTATGTATTAAATCGTAGTTGTTGTCTGGTATGGGGTTAGGGGAAACTGAGGTACGTATGTGTTAATTCGTAGTTGTTGTCTGGTATGGGGTTGGGAAAACTGAGGTATGTATGTATTAATTCGTAGTTGTTGTCTGGTATGGGGTTGGGGAAACTGAGGTATGTATGTGTTAATTCGTAGTTTGTTGTCTGGTATGGGGTTGGGGAATCTGAGGTACGTATGTGTTAATTCGTAGTTGTCTGGTATGGGGTTTGTGAAGTGAGGTGTGTACGTGAAACATCTTACCTGTTGTCTCTGTTTGGGATTTGTAAACTATGTAGGTATGTGATATATCATTTGTATGTGATAAATCGTATCTGCCGGTAGGTATGGGGTGGTGTAACTTTTTAGTGAGACGTATCGAGGAGTAAAGGATTAAACTTGAGCTGAAATTACTACATCTGCATATATGTAATTTGATGAGTTGGGAAGGTAGAGTATAAAGGTATGCTTTGCTTATCAGCGTACTAAACAATGTGTACTTGCCTAGTATAGATAACCCTAAAATAAGGCATTAACTGTAATGTATTATCACGGCGAAAAATTTATACATTCTCTTAGTGGAAAAGGAGTATAGAGTGATAAAGTGTTATCGCATTCAAGTACCCGGATGGGATTAAATATCTTTAGCCCATCACAGATGTTGTCCGGTCTTGTATTTCCGGAATATTGTCAAAAGCAGTGAAATAATATGCACACAATACCGTTTTGAAAAAATAGCGTCAGGAAATTCAAACCTACATATAAATGTAACAAAACAAAACCTTAATATACTCATAAGAAATATTCTGTAAAAGCATAAAGAATAGGAAAACATGTGGACTATACTGCTATCAAAGTTGGTATATGTATAGAAGTCATCCTTCCTTAGCGGCAGCATACGGTGTGTATTGGTTTGGTTAAAGCGTTAGCTCGTCATGACGAAGACCCGGGTTCGATTCCCTACATGGGTTCAGTGTGTGAAGCCCATTTCTGGTGTGATATTGCTGGAATATTGATAAAGCGACGTAATACCATACTCTCCCATTCACTCACTCACTCACTCATCCGGTGTATGGATTTGAAGAAAAAACGTTTCATTAGCGCTTGAATAAGCTTATTACTTAAAACCAGAGCTCATCGGATGTGAACGAAGATTAAAACAAGCACGGCCCATTTAACAAGAAATATAAAACAAAGAAAGGGAAAAGACAAGCACTGGACAAGGACGTTTATAGCATGAACACAACATCGATATTGAACACATTGAGACAGGGAATATTCACCTTATGATGCATAATATTGTATTTAATTGGGATCGCATGTGAATGTTGAAACGATTTCGCAGTTCAGGTATGAGACAGGATCTCTCATTGATGGAACCTGCTGTCTTGATGTCTGAATAACATGTGCTTGTGTGCGTGTATTGGTTTCTAACATGGTCATGGTGTTATCTCGTCTCGTGGGAGATATGTGTTTTAGAATGATAATTGTGTCAATGAAATTAGTGAAACACAGGATTGCGCCACTAAACTGTCAACCACAATTGTGTTGAACAATTCAGAGTATGCTTGCACAAATGTCGTGTTTGTGATCCGGAAAGTGGATACTAAAGCTTGCATCATTTGTGCTTCCTTGTGAGGGGTTGGGCAACCGTGGCATGTATATGTAAACTCAAGTGTGGTGTCTGCTGTACAGTTTGGTCATCTGAGGTAAGTATATGGCAGGGCCACATGTGTTGTTTGTGTGTGTGTGTGTGTGTGTGTGTGTGTGTGTGTGTGTGTGTGTGTGAGTGTGAGAGAGAGAGAGAAAGTGAGAGAGAGAGAGTGAGAGAGAGAGAGAGAGAAGAGAGAGAGAGAGAGAGAGAAAGTGAAAAGTGAGCGAGAGAGAGAGAGAACAGGTGTGTGTGTGTGAGAGAGAGAGGAGAGAGAGAGTGAGTGAGAGTGAGAGAGGGTGAGAGAGAGAGAGAGAGAGAGAGATACACAGAGAGAGAGAGAGAATGGGAAGGAATAGACTTGTCTCTAAGGTATACAATTTATAGTTTAAATAATATTAATATCGCTTATCTTGACTTGCCTCTTCGAAGGATAGCATTATAAACAAAAAGTATATATCCATGGGTTTAGCATTCAGTACAGCCTTGGAGCAAGGCTAGGGAAGGGAGACCGAGGCATCTCTGCGTTAAATCATGTTTGCTGTGTGTATCAAGTATCAGTGCGTATGTAATAGGTACAGTTTTGTGCTGGGTCGATTGAGGAGAGGTGTAGGAACTTTACCTGAAAATGTATATATCTGTGTTATAATCGTTTCATTTGGGTTTTCCACGCGTTGTGAACAGAAATGGAGAATAGATTAGCAGGGCGCGGTATATTGGCATCAGTGTTGATATATGGTTTGAACTACTTCATCCTTCATCCTTAGTGTATATGAATTCGAGTGAGTGAGTGAGTGAGTTTAGTTTTACGCCGCACTCAGCAATATTCCAGCTATATGGCGGCGGTCTGTAAATAATCGAATCTGGACCAGACAATCCAGTGATCAATAGCATGAGCATCGATCTGCACAATTGGGAACCGATGACATGTGTCAACCAAGTATGAATTTGAGGAAATGTTTCTTTATCGCTGTAATAAATAGAAAACTACTATTTATTTACATAACCAGAACGAATCAATGGTTAACAAGGATAATAGACAGAAAACTTTATACAAGGAACATTTACAAAAGAAGGTGAAACAGTTTTTAAACACAAACACTTTGATGAGCGGTGTAAGATTTGGCTCATATTAACAATACACGACTAGAGCATGTCTTGGCTGCAGGTTTTGATAGGACAATAGGGTCCTACCACGGTAGTATAATCGCTATTGAAATATGCCTTGGCACACTGCCAATCGAGATTGCACAATGCCGTCTCCCTATACCCATTTACGCTACTTGGCATACATAAAAGGCAAAGTGTATGGGGTTGTCTTCTTAGCCAGTGTTTATGTTGCTGATTGATTGTTCTCATGCGTCAGCGGTTGTATGGCTTGTTGTGTGTTTGTCAAACCCAAGTTTGTTCTTATATTACAAACCCCAGGAGTTGAAATTACACCTCGGTTGATATCGACGTATGGGTTAGAGTCTGTAGTCGTCCATATCAGCAATGTTTGACTAAACCAATAAATGAGCGAGTTAAATTTATAGACACAGCTTTGAGTCTTTGTGTCTTACAAAAAAAAAACAGTCGTGAAGATCCAGAAATGGACTTCAGCAACCCATGCTTGTCGTAAGAGGCGACAAACGGGATCGGGTTGTCAAGCTCGCTGACTTGGTTGGCACATGTCACCATAACCCATAAATTTTCGTACATCGACGCTCATGTTGTTTCACTCCGGATCGTCTGGTCAAGACTCGATTATTTACAAACCGTGTATTGCTGAAATATTGCTGAGTGCCGCGCTATAACAACAAAAGCAAGCAAACAAACAAAACAAACAAACGAATCGCGTGTTATCAGTGTAAGCAATATGCCTGTGTGTGTATGTAAGTGGCGGGTATTGAAGCTGTCTTGAGACCTATTGCTTGGCTGAACGTATCGATGTCCTTTAACAGGCTGTTCGTGCACCAATACAATTCACAGTGAGTGATATATTTAACGATTATAAATGTTGTCAATACGTACTTGAGGAATGAATCACATTCGCATGTAGAATATATTAGCATACCAGTCTTTCTTGCAGACGAATACAACTCGGTTTGAAATTACACTTTAGTACCATATTACTCATCAAATTAACTCATCTCCTACTGAGGGGCTGGTCTCTCCTGCAAAGGACTCTTAAAGTATTAGTTGACTGTGAATCACCAAGTAGCTCTCCGATCACGAGGTACGACATGTGACCATGGGTGGCGTAACTATAAACGAATCAGAACTGTTGCATCGGGACATGTGACAAGGGCGGAGCTGGCTGAAACACCTTAAAAGACACCGTCACCAACAGCAGAGTGGTGCGGGTTTCAAAGTCAGCAGAACGTTCGTATCGCGATCGTTGCCCTTCCACGTTTGGCTCCTTGTAATGAAGAGAGGGATTGAGTAAAGCTAGGTGAGTATAGAACCTGGTATTGATTTAATTATTGTATGAATGTACGCCACACTCACCCCTCACTCCTTCACTTAGCATCCCCCAAGTGTAGTGTGTAGTGTGTAGAGCTTGCCCTGTCCTGTCCAGTCCTTGTAATGAAGAGAGGGATTGAGGTAAACCCTAGGTGAGTATAAACCTGGTGTTGATTTAATTATTGTATGAATGTGCGCCACCCTCACCCCTCACTCCTTCACTTAGCATCCCCAAGTGTAGTGTGTAGTGTGTAGAGCTTGCCCTGTCCTGTCCAGTCCTTGTAATGAAGAGAGGGATTGAGTAAACCCTAGGTGAGTATAAAACCTGGTGTTGATTTAATTATTGTATGAATGTGCGCCACCCTCAGCACTCACTCCTTCATTTAGCATCCCCAAGGTGTAGTGTGTAGTGTGTGTAGTGTGTAGAGCTTGCCCTGTTCTGTCCAGTCCTTGTAATGAAGAGAGGGATTGAGTAAAGCCTAGGTGAGTATAAAATCTTGTGTTGATTTAATTATTGTATGAATGTGTACCACCCTCACCCCTCACTCCTCCACTTAGCATCCCCCATCTGTAGTGTGTAGTGTGTAGTGAGTAGTGTGTGTAGAGCTTGCCCTGTCCTGTCTAGTCCTTGTAATGAAGAGAGGGATTGAGTAAAACCTACGGTGAGTATAAAACCTGGTGTTGACTTAATTATTGTATGAATGTGCGCCACCCTCACCCCTCACTCCTTCACTTAGCATCCCCAATTGTACTGTGTAGTGTGTAGAGCTTGCACTGTCCTGTCCAGTCCTTCTAATGAAGAGAGGGATTGAATAAACCTAGGTGAGTATAAAACCTGGTGTTGATTTAATTATTGTATGAATGTGCGCCTGTACATGAACACAAGTGTTTTAGTAATGGGTCGTGGTCGGCCAACACCTCTCCTTCACTTAGCATCCCCCAAGTGTAATGTGTAGTGTGTAGTGTGTAGTGAGTAGTGTGTGGAGCTTGCCCTGTCCTGTCAGTCCTTGTATTGAACAGAGAGGTTGAGTAAACATAGGTGAGTATAAAATCTGGTGTTGATTTAATTATTGTATGAATGTGTGCCACCCACACCTCACTCCTTCACTTAGCATCCCCAAGTGTAGTGTGTAGTGTGTAGAGCTTGTCCTGTCCTGTCCAGTCCTTGTAATGAAGAGAGGGATTGAATAAACCTAGGTGAGTATAAAACCTAGTGTTGATTTAATTATTGTATGAATGTGTACCACCCTCACCCTCACTCCTTCACTTAGCATCCCCAAGTGTAGTGTGTAGTGTGTAGAGCTTTGCCCTGTCCTGTCCAGTCCTTGTAATGAAGAGAGGGATTAGGTAAACCTCAGGTGAGTATAAAACCTGGTGTTGGCTTAATTATTGTATGAATGTCCGCCACCCTCACCCCTCACTCCTTCATTAGCATCCCCAAAGTGTAGTGTGTAGTGCATAGAGCTAGTCCTGTCCTGTCCAGTCCTTGTAAAATGAAGAGAGGGATTGAGTAAACCTAAGGTGAGTATAAAACCTGGTGTTGATTTAATTATTGTGTGAATGTGCGCCACCCTCACCCTTACTCCTTCCTTAGCATCCCCCCAAGTGTAGTGTGTAGTGTGTAGAGCTTGCCCTGTCCTGTACAGTCCTTGTAAAATGAAGAGAGGGATTGAGTACACCTAGGTGAGTATAAAACCTGGTGTTGATTTAATTATTGTGTGAATGTGCCCACCCTCACCCCTTACTCCTTCACTTAGCATCCCCCCTAAGTGTAGTGTGTAGTGTGTAGAGCTTGCCCTGTCCTGTACAGTCCTTGTAATGAAGAGAGGATTGAGGGAAACCTAAGGTGAGTATAAAACCTGGTGTTGATTTAATTATTGTATGAAAGTGCACCACCCTCACCCCTCACTCCTTCATAGCATCCCCAAGTGTAGTGTGTACTGTGTAGTGTGTAAAGCTTGCCCTGTCCTGTCGAGTCCTTCTAATGAAGAGAGGGATTGAGTAAACCTAAGGTGAGTATAACACCTAGTGTTGATTTAATAATTGTATGAATGTGCGCCACCCTCACCCCTCACTACTTCATAGCATCCCCTAAGTGTATTGTGTAGTGTGTAGAGCTAGTCCTGTCCTGTCCAGTCCTTGTAAATGAAGAGAGGGATTGAGTACACCTAGGTGAGTATAAAACCTGGTGTTGATTTAATTATTGTATGAATGTGCGCCACCCTCACCCCTTACTCCTTCACTTAGCATCCCCAAGTGTAGTGTGTAGTGTGTAGAGCTTGCCCTGTCCTGTTCAGTTCTTGTAATGAAGAGAGGGATTAGAGTAAACCTAGATGAGTATAACACCTGAGTGTTGATTTAATAATTGTATCAATGTGCGCCACCCTCACCCCTCACTACTTCACTTAGCATCCCCTAAGTGTATTGTGTAGTGTGTAGAGCTAGTCCTGTCCTGTCCAGTCCTTGTAAAATGAAGAGAGGGATTGAGTACACCTAGGTGAGTATAAAACCTGGTGTTGATTTAATTATTGTATGAATGTGCGCCACCCTCACCCCTTACTCCTTTCACTTAGCATCCCCAAAGTGTAGTGTGTAGTGTGTAGAGCTTGCCCTGTCCTGTTCAGTTCTTGTAATGAAGAGAGGGATTGAGGTAAACCTAGATGAGTATAACACCTAGTGTTGATTTAATAATTGTATCAATGTGCGCCACCCTCACCCCTCACTACTTCACTTAGCATCCCCTAAGTGTATTGTGTACTGTGTAGTGTGTAAAGCTTGCCCTGTCCTGTCGAGTCCTTGTAATGAAGAGAGGGATTGAGTAAACCTAAGGTGAGTATAAAACCTGGTGTTGATTTAATTATTGTATGAATGTGCGTCACCCTCACCACTCCTCCTTCACTTAGCATCCCCAAGTGTAGTGTGTGTAGTGTGTAGAGCTTGCCCTGTTCTGTCCAGTTCTTGTAATGAAGAGAGGGGTTGAGTAAACCTAGGTGAGTATAAAATCTTGTGTTGATTTAATTATTGTATGAATGTGTACCACCCTCACCCCTCACTCCTCCCTTAACATCCCCAAGTGTAGTGTGTAGTGTGTAGTGAGTAGTGTGTAGAGCTTGCCCTGTCCTGTCCAGTCCTTGTAATGAAGAGAGGGATTGAGTAAACCCTAAGGTGAGTATAAAACCTGGTGTTGACTTAATTATTGTATGAATGTGCGCCACCCTCACCCCTCACTCCTTCACTTAGCATCCCCAATTGTACTGTGTAGTGTGTAGAGCTTGCACTGTCCTGTCAGTCCTTCTAATGAAGAGAGGGATTGAATAAACCTAGGTGAGTATAAAACCTGGTGTTGATTTAATTATTGTATGAATGTGCGCCTGTACATGAACACAATGTTTTAGTAATGGGTCGTGGTCGGCCAACACCTCACTCCTTCACTTAGCATCCCCAAGTGTAATGTGTAGTGTGTAGTAGTGTGTAGTGAGTAGTGTGTGGAGCTTGCCCTGTCCTGTCCAGTCCTTGTATTGAACAGAGGGGTTGAGTAAACATAGGTGAGTATAAAATCTGGTGTTGATTTAATTATTGTATGAATGTGTGCCACCCTCACCCCTCACTCCTTCATTAGCATCCCCCAAGTGTAGTGTGTAGTGTGTAGAGCTTGTCCTGTCCTGTCCAGTCCTTGTAATGAAGAGAGGGATTGAGATAAACCTAGGTGAGTATAAAACCTAGTGTTGATTTAATTATTGTATCAATGTGCACCACCCTCACCCCTCCTCCTTCACTTAGCATCCCCAAGTGTAGTGTGTAGTGTGTAGAGCTTGCCCTGTCCTGTCCAGTCCTTGTAATGAAGAGAGGGGATTGAGTAAACCTCAGGTGAGTATAAAACCTGGTGTTGGCTTAATTATTGTATGAATGTCCGCCACCCCTCACCCCTCACTCCTTCACTTAGCATCCCCAAGTGTAGTGTGTGTGTAGTGCATAGAGCTAGTCCTGTCCTGTCCAGTCCTTGTAAATGAAGAGAGGGATTAGAGTAAACCTAAGGTGAGTATAAAACCTGGTGTTGATTTAATTATTGTGTGAATGTGCGCCACCCTCACCCCCTTACTCCTTCATTAGCATCCCCAAGTGTAGTGTGTAGTGTGTAGAGCTTGCCCTGTCCTGTACAGTCCGTGTAATGAAGAGAGGGATTGAGGAAACCTAAGGTGAGTATAAAACCTGGTGTTGATTTAATTATTGTATGAATGTGCACCACCCTCACCCCTCACTCCTTCCTTAGCATCCCAAGTGTAGTGTGTACTGTGTAGTGTGTAAAGCTTGCCCTGTCCTGTCGAGTCCTTGTAATGAAGAGGGATTGAATAAACCTAAGGTGAGTATAAAACCTGGTGTTGATTTAATTATTGTATGAATGTGCGCCACCCCACCCCTCACTACTTCATAGCATCCCCTAAGTGTAGTGTGTAGTGTGTAGTGTAGAGCTTGCCCTGTCCTGTCCAGTCCTTGAAATGAAGAGAGGGATTGAGTAAACCTAAGGTGAGTATAAAACCTGGTGTTGATTTAATTATTGTATGAATGTGCGCCACCCTCACCCCTCACTCCTTCACTTAGCATCCCCAAAGTGTAGTGTGTACTGTGTAGTGTGTAGAGCTTGCCCTGTCCTGTCGAGTCCTTGTAATGAAGAGAGGGATTGAGTAAACCTAAGGTGAGTATAAAACCTGGTGTTGATTTAATTATTGTATGAATGTGCGCCACCCTCACCCCTCCTCCTTCATAGCATCCCCAAGTGTAGTGTGTAGTGTGTAGTGTGTAGAGCTTGCCCTGTCCTGTCCAGTCCTTGTAATGAAGAGAGGGGGGTTGAGTAAACCTAGGTGAGTATAAAACCCTGGTGTTGATTTAATTATTGTATGAATGTGTGCCACCCTCACCCCTCACTCCTTCATAGCATCCCCAAAGTGTAGTGTGTAGTGTGTAGTGTGTAGAGAGGCTTGCCCTGTCCTGTCCAGTCCTTGTAATGAAGAGAGGGATTGAATAAACCTAGGTGAGTATAAAACCTGGTGTTGATTTAATTATTGTATGAATGTGCGCCACCCTCACCCCTCACTCCTTCATAGCATCCCCAAGTGTAGTGTGTAGTGTGTAGAGCTTGCCCTGTCCTGTCCAGTCCTTGTAATGAAGAGAGGGATTGAATAAACCTAGGTGAGTATAAAACCTGGTGTTGATTTAATTATTGTATGAATGTGCGCCACCACAATGTTTTTAGTAATGGGTCTGGTCGACCAACACACTCACTCCTTCATAGCATCCCCAAATGTAGTGTGTAGTGTGTAGTGAGTAGTGTGTAGAGCTTGCCCTGTCCTGTCCAGTCCTTGTAATGAAGAGAGGGATTGAGTAAACCTAGGTGAGTATAAAACCTGGTGTTGATTTAATTATTGTATGAATGTGCGCCACCCTCACCCCTCACTCCTTCACTTAGCATCCCCAAGTGTAGTGTGTGGTGTGTAGTGTGTAGAGCTTGCCCTGTCCTGTCCAGTCCTTGTAATGAAGAGAGGGATTGAGTAAACCTAGGTGAGTATAAAACCTGGTGTTGATTTAATTATTGTATGAATGTGCGCCACCCTCACCCCTCACTCCTTCACTTAGCATCCCCCAAGTGTAGTGTGTAGTGTGTAGAGTGTAGAGCTTGCCCTGTCCTGTCCAGTCCTTGTAATGAAGAGAGGGATTGAGTAAACCTAGGTGAGTATAAAACCTGGTGTTGATTTAATTATTGTATGAATGTGCGCCAGTACATGAACGCAATGTGGTTAGTTATGGGTCGTGGTCGACCAACACCTCACTCCTTCACTTAGAATCTCCCAACCGAACAAGCGAGTTGAGAGCTTGAGCTTACATTTCATACTGACCAAGTGGAACGGTCATATTAATAAGTTACTGTTGAAAGGCCTTCTGACACCCAATCGGCAGTTACGACAATAGTATACTCGCTATTTAAACAAACCTCGAGGATCTGTGCCATTCCCTCCAGAGTCCACAATGCTGTCTACCGATCTCCATTTATGTTATTCAACATGCTGCTTGATATATATTATACATCATAAGTTTAGACTCTCTGGTGTAAATGTAGCCACTTGCTTCAGTCAACTGTTCTAAACTTGATTTTGCAAAATATTCCATTCAGTTTAAATAATAAGGACTCTGCTCAAAGGCGCTCAGTCATATGCTCTCGAGAAGAGGAATATTTTCAGTTTTCCTCTGAAGTTTCCCAGAGTCTCAGTGGATCGCAGATCTTCAGGGAGCTTGTTCCAGAGGTCAGCACCACCCTTGGAGAATGACCGATCTCCACAGTGACAGTCAAGCCTGATGTCGATCTTAAGGCTCTACTTGGCCTGTATGGCTTGATGAGCTCCTGGATGTAGCTTGGTGCTAACCCATGGAGTGCCTTGAATACCAGAACCAAGACTTTGAACTGTATCCGTTCATTCATTGGCAGCCAGTGCAGACCTTTTAGTACTGGGGTGATGTTGTCGAATTTCCGGGTACCCGTGATCATTCTTGCAGCAGTGGTCTGTATCCGCTGCAGTTTGACCAACTGAGTCTTGGTTATGCCATACATGAGGCTATTGCAGTAGTCCAGTTGGGAGATGACAAAAGCTTGGACTAGTGTCTTGACTGCCTCCTCAGTCAGATACGTTCGGATTAAGGTTTAAAGGTACGATTTACACATGAACTGATGTATTGTAAAACAAATCCGTAACATTGAAAAGCTTATTGTCATGAGTTCAGTAAATGATTAAAAATCGGTGAAAATTGGCGAATTCTTAACAAAACGCAGCTGTTCACATGAACGATATTTTTACATGCATTTTAGCAAATTAATGCATGATCCTCGTACAATCCATCTGAATAAAGTTTGCCGTTGGTTCCAACAAGTTAGTTAGTGATAGTGTTAAGTACCGCCACCGAAACGTTGCACTCATTGCAATTAGGAAGTTGACTATCCATAGAACTTGGTTTTCTTCATCTTTACAAATTCTAAAATGCCTCTCAAAGAAGAAACTACTCATGTTGAAAGTACACCGCGATTAATCTCGGCGCTAATAATATGCCTTTGTGTGCATGTACACGGCGCGTTATGTAGCTGTGTTGAGTAAGTGAGTGACTTAATCTCTAACGTCACATCGGCAATATCTCAGCCATATCGTGACGAAAACAATTTATACAATAAAAATGAAAATAATTTGAAAAGTAAAACCTGTCTACGAATGACGGTAAAAATACTAGAGTATCACAGATGTGAATATAAAACTAGCCTGTAAAACTAAAACATTTTAAGACAATACAATTTAAAACACGGGATAAAGATCGCCAACAACTGAAGGTAGATCACCATACTAGGAACTATGGGGACTTACATTACGTAGCTGTGTTGAAACCTCTTGCGTCACTGAATGTATCGATGTCCTTTAAGTTGCAGCATGTTCAATACCATATACAGTGAGTTCTTAGACTGAACAACGCATAACTTATATAGATTATAGATGTTGCCACTGATATAGACCAACGCCGAGGTTTTCAGATTTAGGAGGCGTAACAATGTAACACGCCATCATTGTCCAACAGTTGCATAAGAAGATAATTGGGGATAAATTGAAAAGATTACATGTTGACATGGGTGACAGCTTAGCATGTGCATGTGCATGTGTCGTGAAGTCTTCAGGAAATGTCTTGTTTGACCAATAGTATCTATGTGATCTTGTTTATCAGCTAACCTGCTTTAAGGCAACCATGTTCAATAAGATTATCAGCGGTTGATCTTCTGAAATAGGACACCATATCACGTGTAAGCATTTTTATTAGTATGGTCCCTATGCATTTCAGTAACTGTGTCCGTCAAAGTCACACACACGGATCTAAGGTTTTTGGAGACAAACTTGAAAGGACTGAAAATGATATCCATTCAGTTTTTACACATTAAGTATGTGTTGATTTACACATTTAACATCCTTAGATGACCGACTCGTGGGTAGGTTCGGAATGGGTCTGGTGTTTTTATTGTTTATTGTTTACCACTGCACCCATCGATGTGGCAACCATAAAGCAGCGGTGTGTATAGCGTCGAGTCTGGACCAGACAATCCACTGATCAACCCACGCAATTGGGTTACAGTGACATGTGTCAACCATGTCAGCGAGCCTGGCCACCCGTCATGTTAGTCTAGTCGCCTCTGACGACAAGCGTTGGTTGTTGAAGACCAATTCTAACACGGATCTTTACGGGTATTCGAGTTGGGTCGATAATTTCTCAGTTATTATGATAAGATCCAGCCGCTCAAATACCGCACGGTGGTGTGGCAATGTTGCAGGCTATAGAACCCAAGCGCAATGAGTTGTAATATTTGAAATGCAACAGTACGCCATTTATATGCATCAGGCAAGCAACAGGTGAATAAGGGTAAGATGGATGAACGCCGTCTATCGAAATTAGAAGCGACGGTTAGGTGTTGGTTTTAGTGTGACGTACAGAGACATATATACGAAGTACGGGGAAGTGTTTTAAAGTTGAACTGATATGGACGTGGTGACAGTAAAGTGGCAACAACTGTTATGAACACAATATATAATGATACACAATGATATAAAGGTACAGGATACTACCAGTTACAGCCATAGTTATGACGCAGCGGTTCACGAATGATTTAAATACGAGATTGATGGTAAGCAATGGACATGTAATACGTTTTGCTACTACATTGCCCATTACCTAGTAAGTATTCCTTTTGCGCACTATTTATTACTGAAGTTGAAGGGTTTTTTCTACATTGTTTCTAAATAAAATTGTGTCAGTTGGCCATAAAGATATATGTTGAAAAAAGCACGCCATTATTAACGGAGAAACCGTAATACTTAAGAAAACGCATTTTTAAAATCATTAAACAACTTGCTTCGCAATTCTTATTTCGCATGTTGAAAAATCATTGGATTTAGAGCATCGCGTGGTCTTGAGTCATGGAATATTTCACAAATTAGACTATTGTTAACTTACATGCGAGTATGGTCATATTGATAGTTGAACAGGGTATGAACAGTGTGATAAGGTAATGATTGAATTTCTTAGACAAACATTATCTGCACATTTGGAGATATACGTTTATCACGACATATCCCAGAAGAGACACTCCACACAACAGACATTCTTTCGGCCCAGGCATGCGTGATAAGGTAACATTGGTGGCATTTAACAAGGGAAAGGAAAAATATGGAAACAAATCGAAGCCATAAATAATAAGTCCCAAGCTCTAGGCGGATATGTTCCCTTGTCACGGTCGGGGTCTCCTGATGTATATGGCCTCTTACAGTTTCCTTTGACGCCAGTTGTTGTTGCTGGTAGCTAGGACTTTGGTGGCTTCACACATTATGGCATGGTTTTGGTTCTTGTTGATGTGGCCAGAGATTGCGGATTTGAGGTCGAGTTTGTTGACGGCCGTTTGGTGTTCTTTGAGTCTGTTGCTGAGGGATCCAACAAATGGACCAACACAAAACTGAGTTAGGAACAGTCCTATGTTCAAATAGCAGACAAGGGACCGAAATAACAGACACAAAGCACACTATGTGGGAAAATAATATTGGCCATACTTTCAGATCACTGCGAGCACAACTTGATCAGCGAAAGAAGGAGCTCCTGGTGGATATTGAAAGGTCAGACGAAGGAGACTCACACACTCGACATACCTGCAGCTGTCTTTAAAACCAACGACCTGTCAAAGCTGAAATACATCGGATTTTGTGATTTTGTGCCATCTTGACCAAAGAAATGTCTAAAGAAGAACATGCAAGAGGTATTATTTATTCGTTTCGTGCCCATGTGGAACTGGAACACCGTTCCATGATAGTGTTTTTACAGACACAGTATTCTTGTTAATACACACCTTTCTATAGTGTTTTATATTGGATTACAATTATATGTCCATAGTGTTATATTTTCCATAGGATCTACAATTTTTCTCAGTGAATTTCAGATGAATCTAGAACTGTTTGGGGTTGAATCTAGAAAACTAAGAAGTGTCATCCCAAATCTTACATTGGACTACTTTCAAAATGGCATTGTGTATTCATAGCCTTCGGCCTTGGAAACCATGTCAATTTACATTTGTCCAGGGGTAAACAAGGTACGTGAATACTAGTTGTCAGACTTCCATTTTATGGAAACCGCGATGGCTGAGTGGGTTAGATCGCAGACTTTATGTGATTAGGTGCCTGACTCTGAGAGTTTTGGTTCAAATCACGGATGGACTCAACCTAACAAAATTTGTACTTTACTCAGAAAGTGTAATCCCAAATAAAACACTTTAAACATTATTCTTAGCAGCATATACATGTGTTAATTATTGGGTGTACACACAATTTGTAAACACTTGCTCATAACATATTGGGAATTTTACAATCGAGATTTCGTGTGGATGTATAACGGATTTTGATGCTTTTTCTTCCATCATTGCGTTGTTTCAGACAAGGAAACTAAACTGAAGATGACTCCGTGGCTGACATAGAAACCAAACTTAAGAACCTGCAGTTGGTAAATAAAATAATATAATGTATCATAACCACTAAAGAAGAGCGTATGAGATAGTATGTATGACTACAAAGTATTAAATGTACTAAAACCAATTACAATGTAAGACAACGATCTAAAACAATTAAATCCGTTTCCAGAAGTACATGGCCATAATTATCTGTCCAACGTTTTCAGCACATCGCAAAACTGAAGAGGAACATTGACTGAGACAAAAACAAAATCGAAATACTTGCAAACTAAATACCAGAATTAACAGCCTGACATGACTTACAAACATTCACTTTATCAAACAGAAGTGCATGGTAGTATCAGTTATTTAAGAGGTGTTCGTTGACGACAAAGTGGGCACAGTGGATAACAATTTATTTAATATAGCATTATAGCTACACGCCATATGCCCTATAACGTTGTGAGACCATTGTATGGGAATCCAGGAACATCCCTATGGCAGTAGACTATAAGTTCTATTCGGTACATCGTGTGCCCTTTGTCAAGTTTAATTCTCAACATTATTATTTTATATTCTTTTTGCCTACCAGTCACCTACCTAACACCTCTCCATATGTCCCGACATACATACTTACATATAATAATTTACGATTATGGCTTATCGTATCAGGTCGTCGAAGAGAAAGAAAACATCGAGAAGAGAGACCTCAGAAACCATCGATTTCCTGATCGGTAAACTCAAGTCCCTTTTACTCCTTTACTTTCATCGTTCAGATAACTGATTCTGAGTTCTAACACTAAAGTAGTGGCTTGTCTGTTGGCCTTATTATTGAGTGAATGAATTTACAGTCACATCGGCAATATTTCAGCCATATCGTGACTAGCCTTATTACTGACATTCACTAAAAGATATAACAATGTTGTACTATCATAGTTATAACAATGTTGATGTTGCAGGAATGCTCATTGAATGATTTTCACCTGCTGAAACCAGGCGCCTTGGACAAGTCGATGGTGCTGAAGTGTATGTTCATAATCTACCCATTTACCATCTATGCTTAAACTACCAAGTCAGAAACTATTGTCATATCATGGAGGTGATTTGGTGGCGTTTGGCTACCTTAACCACCCAAAGTATTCATATTAGAATGTTCATTATGGAGACATCTGTTAGACATCGACGTACAAGTATCCGGTCTTTGTAACATGTTTGTTTGTTTGTTTGTTTACTGTTTAATGCTGCAATCAGCAATATTCCAGCAACCGTTTGTAAATAATCGAGTCCGGACCAGACAATCCAGTGGTCGTTTGCAAGAGCATCGATGTCCGAAATAGGAATGCGATGACATATGTCTGACCACTCAATCCCATTACGACGAACACAGGTTTAGTGAAGACCAATTCTAACCCGGATCTCCACGGTTCTTGAGTAATATGTCACCTCACTGTTTGTTATCCTGTCTAAAAGGCAGGAACCATTTTCAAGCTGACCGCCACCAGTGTGTCTAATCCAAGTTTTATTTTTGACAGGACTTTTCAAAATAGATGGAATATCAAATTTAGTGGCCGGGACCAAAACATTAGTTCGTTATAAACGTGGTTTACTGTAGAGCTTGTGCCCCTAACGTCGAGCAGTAGTTGAAGACTTAAACAGGCATAAACATTTAATCAAACGTGCAGGAGCGGTTTCATCATGATTTGCACATTCTTGGCCGGCGCCTTTCGGTTTCATACTTGAACTGGGAAGGTTCGTGTCAAAACAATGCGTTAATGGTTATTCCCTTCAGTACATTTCGGGCGGTGGGGTAGCCTAGTGGTTAAAGCGTCCGCTCGTCACGCCGAAGACCCTGTTTCAATTCCCTACATGGGTACAATGTGTGAAGCCCATTTCTGGTGTCCCCACCGTGATATTGCTGGAATATTGCTAAAACGGCGTAAAACTTAACTCACTCACTCACTCTAGTACATTCCATGTTAATAAGTACAATTGTCCTAAGATACCAGCAATTCAGTTCCTGTTGGTCATTGTCAGTTTCGTATCAGAAGAAAAACAAACAACAGACATCATCACATACCTCAATTATGATGTACCAGAATGGTCAGAAGAGACCATGACATCACTGAATGATACTAAATTAGGTGTTAAAATGTCATGACCCACATTATAAAACTGACATGTTGCTATCTCTGACCCGTCTTGTTAGTGCTGACGATCTACTGTATCCCAGCGAGTCTGTTCTATAACTGCACCCTGCTCCCGAATCAAGCAATGCGGTCATACGACACAGTGATAAAAGTGAGTTGAGTTTTACGCCGCCTATTAGCAATATTCCAGCAATATCATGCCGGTGAACACCCACAAATTGGCTTCACACATTGTAACCATGTTGGGAATCGAACCCGGGTCTCTTGCATGACGAGTGAATGTTTCAACCACTAGACCTTCAGGCCCAGTGATATGATCCTTTTACGGCTTTTCATTCTTAGATGCGAAGCGTTCATCTGTCTCTTTATATAAGTCCATGAAACGTGTAGAGTAACATCTCTGTGATTCCTGCATTTTTTTGCTTTAATTAATATTCGCTCATTTTAGTAATTCATATATGAGATACAGCAACTACATCCTAGGGAGAATTTTGTTTTCTGAATCAGTGATAACAGACCAGCGTCTGCTAGACTGGTTATTTGTTGTACCTCCTTTCAGAATGTTACAGTCAGTAGATCCGATGTTTTAGTGTCAGGGCTTGACATAATATACAGACATCAGAAATTGCTGACGGGGTTTAGCTCTGTGGTCATGTGGACGAGGCATCCGACTTCCAATTAGAAGGTCCAAGGTTCGAATCAGATCACGGGACTCAGTAGTTCTATTGCCTGTACATAACCAATCATTGACCAAAACTGACCTTCACGCTTTGTTTTTGTTTGTTTTGTTTTGGTTGAGTTTTCATATTGTTCTTTATATTATGTTTGTTTTAACGTTGCATTCATCAATATTCCAGCAATGTTACGGCGGTTTGGAAATATTGATTTTAACCCGGATCTTTAGCAATATGTAACCTCACTGTTAACTATCCTGTCTCAACGGCTATAAAGCTACTGAGTCCCGTAATGGGATTCGAACCATGGATCTTTTGATCGGAAGTCAGATGCCTCGTCCACATGACAACAGAGGCAAACACCGTCAGCAAGCTGACAAAGCGAAAATGTCACCGGTATAATTATTTCATGCCCTGCAACATAAACTGAATGTAACTTTCAGGAAACGAGGTACAACATGTGACCAGTCTAGTAGACATTCATCTGTTATCACTGATTCAGAAAACAAAGTTCTCTCCAATGCTGTTGCTGTATCTCGACTATTTTTTGTTTAGAATCAAAATTAGTGAAATGAGTGAATATGAATTAGAGCAAAAACCACCATCAGGAAGCAGTGATGTTACTCTGCAGCTGTACACGTTTCATGGTCTTATATAAAGATACTGATTTACGCGTTACGCCTAAGAACGCACACCCATACCAAGCTCTTATCATTGGGGGCGGTCTGATAGCCTAGTGGTTAAAGCGTTAGCTCGTCACGCCGAGGACCCCGGTTCGATTCCCCACATGGGTGCAATGTGTGAAGCCCATATTTTGGTGTCCGTTACTGATATTGCTGGAATATTGCTAAAAGCGGCCTTAAACTAAATTCTATCTCTTACTCTTATCACTGTGTCATATGACCTCGTGGCTTATTTGGGGAGCAGAGCACGGTTATAGAGCGAGGCATGTCGGGATACAGTAGATGGTCAGCATTATCAAGACGGGTCGGAAACAGTAGCATGTCATACAATAACAAATAATATGTAATCTGTCTCATGAAATTTTAACACCCGGTTTAGTATCACGTAGTGATTTCACGGCCTCGTCTGAATACTCCGGTGCATCATAATTGAGGTTTGTGGTGCTCGGCGCTGAGGACATAACCTCTACGATAAACTACGTTTATTACGAACACGCTTATAGCGAACTGATGGATATTGCGAACTTCTGTTTTGGTCCTGGCCAGTAAATCTTATCTTTATTATCCGCCCGTGGAAGATACTGCAGTGTAATAATTTTACGGCTATATTACGCTAGTGTAATACCGCCATACATATGACGTCATAATGGTTTACAGCTATGACGTCACACTGCTAATACCTTTGCCACAATGGTATTAGGCCTTGGTTGACTCGCGGAAAGCTGAGAATCATCACACAGAAGGGCACTTGCTGTCAATTTATGTTGATGAGTAATAAACAGAATACTAAACTCGATTCCGCGAAATACCAT